ATAATTTATGCACGTGTTTATCAACAGGATTCACAACTTCATATATTTCGTATTTGAGTAGAGTTTCGAGACTACCAGTAGATCAGTGTAATGAGATATATTCACCCTATTTCGTCTAAGCTGATGAAGGATTGATAGTAGAAGAATTTTCCCACAATCATATGAGTAGAGCCGACGTTTCCATTCAATTTCACATAGCCTGGATGAGAACAACTTTTGGGAAAGCAAGGCTATGTGAAATTGTATGGAAACATCAGCTCTACTCATCTCATTTTTGGTAAATTCTACTACCAGCCCTTCATCACCTTACACGAAATAGGGTGAATACATCTCATATTACTGATTTACTGGTAGTATCGAAACTCTACTCAAATACGAAAAATAATAAACTATTTATGCTTGTTTGATAGATTGAAGGAGAGAAGGGTTGTCGAGCCGCCATCCAAAAGTAGACGACTCAACTTGTCTGCTCAGTGATGTTCCTAACTTCACTCACACTCGTTCAACATGGCAGATTAAGCTAATCAACCAAACCAGACGTACCAGATTACTCAGCCCCAGCCAGGCCTTTCCTTGTATTATGAAATGTATGTAACTCTATTTCATTTAAAGTGATCAAAGACTGGTATCTGAATTTTTTCACAATAATATGAGTATGGCTGACGCTTTCATTGGATTTCACATAGTCCTGTTTCCTCAAAAAGTGTTCTCATTCCGGCAGGTGTGGACTACAATTTCTATCAACACCCCCAGCCGGAGTCGGACATACCACATGACTGATTTATTGGTAATCTCGAGACCCTACTTGTGAGCGAAAAATAAGTAATATGGTCGATTGCCATAGCAAATATGGCTTTGCTTCATCGACACTCCAACCAAATAATATGATATGGGAAAATGTCTGGCCTTCTTTGAAGTTCATATTTGCCCTGTAACCCAAAAGCACTCGTGGCAATATGGCGTAGCGGTTAACGTGTCGAGGTTACACGCTACATTGTCATGGTTCCACTCCCTCTGGGGGTGTTGATAAGACCTAAGAACTCCAGTTCTGCCTGAATGGGAACAGCTTTTGGGCAAGCAAGGTTATGCAAAATTCATAATGGAAGAGTCAGCTTTACTCATACAATTGTGAGAAAATTGTACTACCAGTCTTTCGTCACCTTAAACTAAATACGGTGAATACATCTCATATGACAAATTTAATGATAATCTCGAAACCCTACTATAAACGAAAGATTTCCTTGGATTGCTAAATCTTAATGGTTCTAGACAGAGAGGTTGGAACAGGTGGTTTCGCAACTTGAATTTCACACTTACAAGCTTACATTTACTTATCTTATTTATACTTGTTTATCGACTTACACAGTCTCGTCCAGGGCTTTTTTAGCCATTCAGCTTTGATGACCAGAGGCCGACATTAGTCTTCGTAGATAACTTTGATTTATGATAGGCATTGAGTAGATACATCAAAACACCCACACATACACAGACAGACGGACACACACACGAGCCAAAGTAGCATGACGAATATGGAAGCTAATTAGCCAAACCATTCTATATCTATCTATACCTATTATCTTTCTTTTGCTTAATTGAGTTTAGATACGAGATAAAATATAACCGGATAGTTTTCTTGATCTAGTGTTAACGTAAGACTTTTAGACGAATTAATTCCAGCTCTGATGATGTCTATCAGATGATGAATGAAAGCTCAATCTATTTTAACCCGAAGCGAGGGAGGATGTCTCGTGGACTGGGTCAACTTTAACCTCGTATTAAGGTCAAAAGTCTTATTTAGAACGCGATTCAACCGTCATCTTCTGGTCAGAGCAACGTACAAATCTATCTTCATGCACCTTCATATGAAATAAAAGTCTCCTCAACACCACTTTTATGGTTACCCCAATGGAATCGACTTTAATATATATTCAACTGTAGCATTCAACATATCGAGGGAACACAGATTAGATATTAAATATGAAAGTGACAAGGCAATGCCTGATTTCATATCACTCGTTTTAGAAGTGGATTTGTAACTTTATGTTTCGATTTAATCTGATTTTATTTGATGGATCCTTTGCAGAGCAAACGGTAGAGAAGGACTCATGCTTTCTACAGTCGTCATAAAATACCTTTTCTGCTCTCTCAAAAGTTGAGATAAGGATTATTAGACCGTAGATCCAAGCGGTGGGACATCTACGGTAATTCTCCACATAACACCGAACCTTAGAGAAATTAAAAAAATAGCCTTTTCTGCTTCTCAAATAGGCCTAGAAATCGGGCCAGCTATTTTACTCACAAAAGTGCAAATATTTATTTGGTTAGAACACGATTGTACTACTCATTTGTGTTGAAAGTAGCCACTTGTGCTAGTTATACTTTTTTATGCTACCTTAGGCATCATTTAATATTGAGGTTGTTTGACCTTGTTTTCGCAACATGGTCATATTGGTAGGAAGACTAAGAGGAACGCACCTAGTCAAACAACCTCTATACAACGAAAGGAGGCTGCGACCACACAAAAGGCCACACCATCTTGATCTTCATACCTTCGATCATTTAATATTGTTGAACTTACATCCATTTCGAGTGAAAGTGTTGGGTGAAGAGATTCCAAGGTCGGTTTCACCAGAAAACGACGGCGGATTCCTCTTGATCATCTGTCAATTTGCTTTACTGGAACATTCATGCTGACGCTGTTTCCAAGGCAATCTGCTTCGATTCCGGTGAAGAGGTGCTAAGCTTTCGTGCGTCATATGACGGACATCATCAGAGCGAGGTAACATCGTAACAACAAAATTCAAACTAACGAGTCAAGAAAACTCACCGGCAAATCCTTAAAAAGTGGTATATATACTCTACATTTGACCTCATTGATCAAGTATGAAGTGATTTGGTTAGTTACGGTCATATGTCAACTTCGAC